TTGTGGCTTTCAAAGTTGAGTAACATCCTCATAGCTCCCGATCACAAGCAGGCAAAGGCATTGCTTGGTGCAGCATTTGCCTGTGTCATTGTTGCAAATGCAGATTCATTGAAAGAATAAGTTTGAAGCATCTGGAGTTCAAATAATTGATCTTTAGCTGGAACTTTTTGGTTTCTCATTCTGGAAGTATATTCCATTTCAAAACTGATTCAATTCTTTTAAAATCATTTCAGAGTTCAAATAAATATCAAAACTGTTTGGATTTTATTTAACCTCAAACTTTTTGTTTAACCTCAAACTCTATTATTTTTTTCATGCTGCCTTGCTTGCTGAAACGTTCCTCTTTAATATTTCCCCTCTTCAAATTTCCAGTGAACCACCTTATCAGAGTGTGAGATAATGAGACTGAGTTCTACTTTCCATATCACAAAGTGTCTACCACTCCATGAATCTGAACTCTCTTTACCCCAAAAGAAACTCTTCCTAACCATGCATCGTGGCACAGGCGAAAGGCAGTGCATGTGGGAGGTTTGCAGTCCTGCTGTCCTAGAGATAAGCAGAAAGCTCTGCTGAACAAAGCTGGACAGGCATTAACCACACAGCTCTTAGGGCCACACTACGGACAGATTCTAATTAGGCACAATTATGCAAACTCATGTATTTGCATATAGCACCTCGCAGAGTGTTACAGGGAATCTAGCAGAAGCCTACTGGATGTGACTTAACCAGAAAGGGAACTTCAGGGCTTTTCCCAGAAAATAAAGCTGAGTGGTGAGACTTAAGGCTCTTCCAGCCAGAGGAAAAGGGAAAGAAGCAAAGGCTTGTTTAAAAGTGCAGCTTCTCTGGAAAGTTGCTGTGTTTCCCTATTTAACAAGAAAGCTGCCTCTCTGCCTCATGCTTAACATCTGAGTTTTGCAGTGCCCTTTAGTGATTCAACTAAAATGCTGTGCTCCTCCTTTGAACTGGCAAAATCAAAGGCGGCTGCCAGCTGGGCAGCACTCGAAGTTCACAGCTCTAACACCTCCTTTTGACAATACTAAGCCTAATGCCTCAGCCAAATTCCCAATAGCTACACAAATCACTTTCCTGAGCCCTAACCAGCAGAGAGCTCCAAAGGGAGGGAGGTGAATCTCAGTGGCAAACTCACCCCAGAGATTAAAGGCCATGTGCAGCTTCAATGTGTGATACTCATAACATCAAGCTGTGGGCTACCTGCTCCAGAAGGGTCCCATAATCCATTTTGTCCCTGTGGGGACTACTCCTGGCAGATCAAGTATTATTCATGGCTCTAAAATTAATTACATAGATCTTTTTTCTCTCTCCAGTTGGGAAATAGGTTATTTGATAGACACCACTGTTACAGCAGAAAATACTGATAGTTGTAGTCTGTCTATTAATATGCAGATACAATCCTTTGCAGAATAACAGCACGTGCAAGTTCACCAAGCAGGAAAACTCTGTTTTTTCTTCTTGGAAGAGAATACAGATATATTCTCCTCTCTCTCAGGAATGCTGCAACTATTTCTACCAGTTTCTTTTTCCCAACTTAAGCAGAGATATCCTCCCCTGACTCCTCAAATGCAAAAGCAGTTATTGATCCAGGCTGGCACTGGAGTGTAGTTGAGAAGTGCCTCTCTTATATCTATCAAAGCAGAATAGCTAGGAACATGTTAATAGACAAAGAAATGTTAAAAACTCTGTTTTTCAGAATCAGTAATGCAATAAGGCCAGAAATAGTATAGGTAGAAAAGACTATGTTGATACCCCCCCCAAAAAAAAAAAAAAAAAAAAAAAGCAAATTCTTTGTTGAACATATAAATGAGAAGTGAGAGCAGGCACTTGCAAGCAGTATGACAGTAGAACACAATGAACAGAGAGAAGGCTCCCATCCCTTTTTTCTGTGTGATTGATGCTATAAACAGGGATGGGTTACATGGGAAGAGAAATTATAATGCCATAATGCCATATTCTTGACTGGTGAAAGTGGAAATGTTCTCATTGATTTCTACGGAACCACTGCTGTTTATGCCACTGTAAGATATATACCTAAGAGAGGTGAGATAATGTGCAACCATGGTGATGGTAATAGCACATAAGAATAATGAAAACTTATCACAGGCACTGTATTTCAAGAAAAAACAGCTCATCACTTCAGATAGTCTTCAAGAGGTTGTTCTTTCAGTTTTACGTATGCTTGGTAAGTAACAACAAATGCATAAACTTTTGTGTTATGAATGCCTTTCTAGCAATGACATGTTATCATTAATCACCATAAGACTGATTATTAACTTTCATCTCAGGCTTTTTCTCAGTGCAATAAAAAGTCTTGCCTGTACTTTTACACAAAATTATAGCAAGATAAGCTATGTTCTAATTCTGTTTTGTAGCACAAGAAGCACAATGGATACAGCCTTCTCTGGAGGATGCAGTTTGTTTTTTTCTGTGGAGAAAAAGACGTATTGAATGCTGTGACTCAGTGCTAACCTTGCAGCAGGCACACTGTAAAACTGTCCCACAACTTCACAGAACCCAGAAAGTTAGGACTGTGGGACCTAGTATGTTGCTGACGCTTCTATTTGCAACTGCACACTTCAGCTGTCTCTTGCTAATCATTCCCTTTCTTCAGCATGCAGTTTTTGTAGTATATCTATGAAGAATTGAAATCTGAAACTACAGGACTGAAATGGAAAGAACAAATGAAAAAAAAATTGTTCTCATTTAGGCTTCTCTATACCATATACTATACATATACATAGCTTGACAAATTATTACTTATTTAGGAACATGTAAACTTTTTTCTCAAATAATTCCAATCTTTTATATTTTAAGATTTACTATAATTTTACAATAATCTCATCTTTATTATTATTTTTTAAAAAGGATAAAAGAAGATAAGAACAGATTGTGAAGGTTTTACAGACCTTATTGTTCTTATTCTCAGCTAACAGTTTTGCTGAAAAACAGCAGAAAGAGTGGTCAGCTCTTCTTTAAGACTATCTCCCTACCCCTTCCAGTAAAGGCCCAAAGTTCAACAATCCTCTCAGCAACTTCAGCAATACTTTGGATAAACTGAGCAACCTGAATCACTGTCATGGAAAAAATGTATTCCAAAGCATGAAGGAGCATCATACATTTTATTTAAAAAGCAGCAATAGCTTTAATATTAACTTCCACTGTCATGGAAAAAAATGTATTCCAATAGCATGAAGGAGCGTCATACATTTTATTTAAAAAGCAGCAATAGCTTTAATATTAACTTGACCAAATCTGCACAAAATTTTGTGGCATAATCCAGATCACCTGGTATACAAGGTAGTAACACCCACTGAATCCCCACAGATTTCAGCAAGGCCAGGATTTCATTCCTGATGCATAAAATCTCCAGTATTATTTTTTCTCATACAGATAATATAGAATATATTTTCTGCAGTTATTTTTAGCAATACTTGGACTGCTTTTTGCTTTGTTTTGTTTAAGGGTATGCGCAAGAAGCTTGAAACTAGAAAGGCCCACTATAAACTCAAATATAAATCTTATTGATAATACCCTCCAGTATCATATTTCAATATAGATTGAGACATTTAGAAAATTTTTGCTTATACTTCAAATATCCTTCCTAAACCCATGGGTGTTATCCTTTGATTTACACACAAACAGAACAATGATTAAAGAGCAAGACACTTACAATAGACCTGATGAATCCTTAATCTCGGGAGCAGCAGTAAATTAAAGAAAACCACGTTCTTGTTACTGGTTGTTCTTTTGTGATTAAGTATTAGTTGTCTGCTATGTTTGACATTCCGTAGACCTATTTATTTGATTAATTTAATTGTCGCCCTAATTAATTTAATTATTTGGTAGCAAGCACTGAGAGGCTGGTGCATTCATGGTTCTCTACATGTTGCTCAGCTGATTACCAGCTCCACAGTGTGCTGAACGGGTAAAAAGCTGCCGCCCGGTCCCCGGTGCCCCTTTCGCTTGTCTGGGTTTGATTGATGTGCCCTCTTGCTCGCTTCTGTCTCCGTGCCGTCGCTCACAGATTAATGGAGGGGATGGGATTATTCACGGTGCGTTTAATCAAGCATGAAGATAATTTTTTTGGAAGGGGAGAACCCTCCCAGTCATTGCACTTTGGAAGTGATGAGTGTACATAAACAACTCTTTGGTTCGCAAAAAGAAATAGAAAATAAAAGGGATGAGGGGTGGAGGGGTGTGTGTGGGCGCGTGAAGAAAGGCTGCTTTACCCGAAAACACAGGGAAATTCTGGAGGAGAGGGGGAGCGGGGAAGGGGATTCAGGGGGTATGGGCATTATTGCAGTTGTCACCCGCGAAACTGACGCACGTTTACACAGCAACTTTGCAACAAGCAGGCGGCGTTGGGCCGGGCTCGCCCCGTCCCGCGGAGCGGCGGGGCTCCGGCCGGGCCCGGGGGTCTCCGTGCCGCCCGCCGTCCTCCCCCGCCCTCGCCGTGCAGCGGGGGCTGCCGGCGCTCCGGGCAGCGACCCGCCCCGCTGGGGAGCCGTGCCGGGACCAGGTGCCCGGCCCGGCAGCGCCTCCCGGGACCGCCGTGCGGAGCGCGGCCCGGTCGGCAGCAGCGGGAGAGACGGGGAAGCCCTGGCGCCTGCGCCCCACCGCGCTCTGCGGAGGGGGCGGGGGGCAGAGCGAGGAGGCGGCCGGGACCGGCCTCAGGCGAGCCCCCTGCCCGCAGTTGCGCGGCGGCGGCAGCTCGGGCGCGCTGCGGGCCGGGGGAGCGCCCGCCCCGCGCCGCTGCCCTCGGCCCCGCACCAGCGCCGCCGGCCGCGGAAACCGCCCCGAAAGAGAGAGAGAGAGAGAGAGAGAGAGAGAACTTGTTCGTCCGTCCCCGCCTGCTTCCCCGCCGCCCGCGCATCCTCTCCCGCGGCGCATCCGCCCGCCCTCCGGGTCCTGCTCCCCCCGTACTCGGGGCCGGTCTGCTGGCTCCGGCTGGAACGTTTCCCCGCTGGTTCCCTCGGAGGGGTTTAGTTGGTAGCGGTACACCGAGGAGAGGCTTCGTCCCTCAGGCATCCTGTCTCACCCTGCGGGGGAAGGGAGCTGGGTGGGGGCAAGCCAGGAAGGGAGGATCTCAGTGGCTCTCCTAAAATCTATCAGCAGGCTGCTAGGAGGGAAGAGTTTGGCACTTCGCAGCGAGGCTGGGCTTGTTTTCCCTAGCGGTGATGCCGCTGGACTGAGAGCGGCGCGGCCGCGCGAGTTAGGGGGACGGAGCCCCCCCCCAGCTCCTTCCAGCGCCCCCAGACCCGGTGCAGCGCCTTCAGCCCCGGCGGCTCGTCCGTGCCGCCCCACTGTATGAGCGCTGCTCCGAGGACAGGGCGGCTCGGCGCCTGCTAGGGCTGCTCTCCGCCGCCCCCCGGACTTCCCCACCACCGACGAGGAGCGGCGCGCACCCCGCACCCGGAGAGTTGTCTCGGCAGGCTCCGTGCTATGGCGAGGCTGCGGAGAAGCAAACTAGCCGCCGGATTTCTATTACTTTTCCAGTGCCTGAGCGAGCGCTGCCAGCTCGCCGGCGGAGAGACGCCGAGGCAGAGCCGCGGTAAGCGAGGCCGGTACCTGCCGGGCGGGGCCGGCCCGGATTCTCCGCGGAGCCCGGGGCAGCGCGGCCGGGCCGGGGTCGGGCCGGGGCCGGGGCCCCTCGCGGTGTGGGCTCTGCCGGCCGCTGCACGGACCGCGTACGCGGAGAGGGCAAACGCCGTTCGGGGCTGGCTCCCCCTCCTCCCGAGAGAGGCCCGGGGTCCCGGCTTCTCATCCTTCCCTACCCTGGTTTCTCCGGAAAGAGCTTTCTATGACTTCATTTCTTATTTTAACGAGAATTCGGGACTTTCCTCCTTTAATGAATCTGCCCCGCGATCACTGGGAGCCGGTGCTGTTCCCCTCCCCAGCCCCTCCGCGGGGTCCCCGGAGCCTCCTTCCCAGCCATGTACGAGACGTGAGGGGCTCACCTCGAGAACCGGGAAAGGAGGGACGGAGACCCCGGGAGAGGCGCCCCGGCAGCCCCCCTCGCCCGCCCTCCCGCGCCGGGGGCCCCCAGCTCTCCCGGCAGCGAGCCGTGGAGGGATGGCAAAGTTTCCCTGCAGATCCTGCCTGGGAGAGCTAGCGGGCACTCTCCTCCCCCGCGGAAGTCAGTAGCTTGCAGCCTTCCCTGGAAACTGGGCGTTGAGAGAAGGAGAAAGATAAAGGAAGAAGCCCCAGGCGCTGTGGGACCTGTTCGTTAGGAGCGAGAGGCTCTGTTGAGTAACTTTGCTTGTGAAGTGTCAGGGTGCTCTTGTCAGTCCTTCCCGGAGACACCTGTTAATGCGTGACACGCAGCACCTGTAGTGCTTTCTCTTGGGCCACTGTTTCCCACAGCATGGGGTTCCCTTTGGGTCACTAAAGCCTTCTGTGTCCTGCATTCCTGTGCTGTGGAGGGGAAAGCTGCTAAGGGAAGTCTTGGCACATTTGCTGACAGTGAGAAAGGTCGTGGGGTTTGTATGTCAGGGGACCTTTCTGCAGCAGATTCTGGCTTACAGGTATTTTCAAAAGCTGTGCCTGTGTAGTTGAAATACCAGCTAGATTATTAATAGATGGAACACGCCTACTGGCTCCCCTGGTGCAACAGAACTGCCCCTTCCTCCTTTCCTTAAAGGTTTGATACAAGTGTGAAAAGTTTTGTGGTCGCTGTGTAACTGACCTGAACAAGAGAGACTGGGTAATTTTTTTAAATGTCCAGTGAGATTATGCACTAGACCGAGCGGGAGTTTCCCAGGCAGGGGCCTACCACTGAGTTTTGGAATTGCTAAACAACGGGGTAGCTCAGCAGGTTGCTGGGGCTCACATGTCACTTGGGGCCAAAGGGAAAAGCCGGGAGGAGAGTTTTCATGTACTGCTGCAAACCCCATGTTGCTGCACTCAGGGCTGTAGGCAACAAATGTTGGTATTTCTTAATGTTAGTTGTAAGGGAGGAAAAAAGTGTAGTGGTGATATTAGAAAAAGAGAATTGCAATCTTGTGTGGTAGTGGACTGAACTCACAAAGTTTATTATCTTTCAGTCAATGTATCCAGCCAATAAGATATTAGTGCTGACTAATTGAAGTATAATATATCAGTGGGCAAATAAACACCACACATCACTGATTTAGGCTATTAAGTTGAAGTAGTCGTCAATTTCTGTACCAGGAGGTGCTAAATAGAAGGTTTACTAGTGGATTGCTTATTCATAAATCATTTAATAATGTCTTGTGTCTTCCTGAATGTTATGAAGTAGGAAGGAGTTTATAATCAGTAATAATTTACAATCAATTGTTTTGATATTTAATATATTCTGAAGAAAATATAGCAAGTAGTTGTTTTCTTCCAGTAGCAGATGGGCAATCTGAAGTCAGTTTTGACATCTAGATGTTTATAACTTTGACATCTTTTCCATAGTTCTTGATTTAAAAAAATTCATATTATTACAGTAACTAAATGTCATTTTCAAAATCTGTTTTATTTCCTTTTTCTGTTTGTAGTACTCTAGCTATTTGGGGAGGGAAAAAAAAAAGAAAAAAAAGAAAAAAAAAAAAGCAATGGTAGGCTGTGTCCAATCAGTGAGAAGAGAAAAAAAATATGTAAAGCCAGAAATTTAAATTCAGGTTTTGTCAGTAAAAATTTAAAAAGAAATGTTTCAAAGTTTTACATTTATTTAGCACCTACTGTATCCTTTTGGATCAGCTCAGATAAAACCTTTAAAGAATTAAAGAATAACTATTTGAGGTAGCTGCAAATTCTTAAGGGGATGCTGATTTTACCTTTTTGTCAAATACTCAGTAACAAAACCCCTTATTGAAAATGAATGGAATAGCAGTATCAAGAAATGGAAACATATAGTAAGCCCTGGCAGAGCTGGAGCCAGCGGGGATTTCTGAGGATGCTACCAAAGGGATACACTCTGATTTCAGCAGACGTGGGAAAAAAAATACAAAGGCGTTTTTTGCCAGCTCATTAGAATTATCTTACCGCAGAAAATCAAGTCGGACCAATTCAAGTGAAATAATTTTCTAGGCATGCCGGAACTTACCTGGCTGCCCCTGGGGGTTTCTGAACGCAGTCTGTGCGCCCGGCTGCGCTGGCCGGAGCCGGCTGTCCCCGCCAGAGGGCGCAGCGGCGGCCGCGCACGGCCCGGCTCCCTTCCAGCATCCATCCATCCATCCATCCATCCATCCATCCATCCATCCACCCGCCCCTGGGCCCATGCAGAACTTCCCTTTTGATGACAAAAATGCTAAAAATCCAGGATGGAGGTTCTTAAACACGAGGTTTGTTTGTGTTTTACAGTAGCCAAACTGAATATGATGTTGATTAAGTGAAGTGAAACAGATAGTCTCTTGAAAGCTCACAAAACAATTAAGGGATCTAGTTGTGTAAGTGAGAGCTCACTACTGAAGTGCTGCCACAAAGTCTTGAAAGTGTTGCATTCTTTTGCAAATGCCATCAGTCAGAATTGGGAGACTGTTATTGTAATTTTTATTACAATATGTCAAAGTATGTTCCAGAATCCTGATATAATTTATATTCATTGGACTTCTGCTGTCTCCAGGCGTCAGCATTCAGAGAGGGGGGTAAAATTATTTTTATAGGATAAACTGCTTTTAAGGTGTGTTTATCTATCATTTATCTACTGCTGAAATAGTAACATTTTGATATTGCCTGAATATTACTCTGTTAAAAAAAAAAATCCATGATTGAGACCAAACTTTCATCATTGTACTTTAGGACCTTTGGGTTTTATCTTAGAAGTAGCAAAATAAATACAAGATTAGACAACATGTATATCAGGTATATTTTCTCTGTTTGCATTTAAGGGTTTGTGGTGTTTGGTTTTGTGGGTTTTTTTTTTGTTTGGTTGGTTTTTTTTGTTTGTTTTGTTGTTGTTGTTGTTTTGGGGTTTTTTGTTCTTGATATGTAAACAAGGACTATGGGGTTAGAGAATCCTAGTGACATTTAAGAGAGCAAATCCTATTTGCATATCATATATATTTTGCTAAGATTTCTCTCTAAAGTAGTCGTCTCTTTTTTTCAACTTTCATACTACTTCTTCCTCTTTTTTTTGTGCTATTTTCCTTTGTCATTTCCTCTGAAAGAGTGGTTTGAAATACTGCTAGTAAATAGTGAGTAAATTAAGACTATAGTGAGGTTGACTTAGGTCTTAAATTCAATTTTACAGAAACTCATTTCCACAGTAAGATCAATACTCATAGTTCCTTGAAGGTTTAAAAATCCCTTGGGAAAAAGTTTTTGTTTGGCTCTGAATATTCCTGTTCAGAGTTTATATCCTCATACAGGCACCTAAACTCCATCAAATACTTGACTAAGATGTTAGGTTTTGTCTGACATGTAACTTGGAGCTGATGATAAATAACAGGGAAACTATCTCTCTACACTGTAAACAAATGTAGTCGAATGAAGAACAGGTCTTTATAATTTGGAATAGGTTTTTGTCTGGTGAAAAATTTATTAGCAACACATACAGGCCATTTAGAGCAAAATCTTGTGACATCTACTGCCTTACTGAATACCAGATTCCTCTTAAAAAATGCAGTTTAGGAGGGCTTTTTCCTTTCAAGGAAGAGACTCCTGAGACCGTGAAGGAGGTAGATGAAGAAATGCATAATGTCAGGTGATGAGAGACTCCCTGAGGAGAATAGTCACAGACCTTAGTATTTTTCATTAAGGACTTTTTGGGAAATTTTGGTGGAGCAGTGCTGCAGGTCCCCACACCTGCACAGACCTCAGGAGATGGAGCTTTGGACCTGAAACTTGTGTTTCCTGCAGGACTGCTATGCAGTGGCACCTGGAAAGTTGCTTGGCTTTGAAGTATGCCAAACACAGCTGTCACATGCTCTGTTGAATCCTACTAGCTTTTGTCCACAAAGGAGATAAAAATTTCATATTAAAATAAATAAAAATAAAAGCATAATTTAACCCTGCTTTTTATAAAAGTCACTGTGGTTTCATTGGACTGTGTGAATTACTGCATAGTTCTGCTGCTTGTAACTCTAAAAGCCCTGGAAAAAAGAAATCTCTGTAACATCCCCCGTTTCAAAACTTACCAAGGCTGCAGTCTGTTAGTCTGAGAACACAGCTGGGGTCACTGGTGTTTTGCATTCCCAGTGTGGTTAATGCTTCCTAAGAAAAACGAATACCAACGGAATTTAAGGCGGCCTTGGTTAAGGTAATCTCTCCTGAGGACTCTCTACAGAGGGAACAAAGGTAATTTGATGGGAACATTTGCGATCCAGTACAAGGAAATGCTGCAAGCTTGCCAGCAGTGTGGAATTATATCCAACTTTTAGGTTTGATGAGGGCTGAGCTGGGAGTGTTAATGCGGTGCAATTGGCAGATGCTGTATTTTCTAAACTGGAGAATTGCATAATCACAGCAGGAACAAGAAGAACCTATGAGTTTGCTTTCTATGGAGAAGTATGCAGAGAGGCCATGCTAAGTACACATGAGGATTGTTCTTGGTTGTGGCTTCTCACAAATGAGCATAAAACATTGTCCTGAAGTGACGCCTGTGAG